AGGTCTTCAGTCTTCTTGGATCACTTATCAACACTCATGGAAAAAGCAGTTAAGAAATCAAACGATGTATTGCATTTGGAAAATCTGCTACACAAGACCTTTTTAAAGTGTTGAAGAGCAAAGATGTCAACTCGAGGACTAAGGTGTGCCTGACCCAAGCTATGGTATTTTCAATAATCTCAGATGCATGCGAAAGCTGGACAGTGAATAATAATGGGCTTCCAGGCATGCCAATCCTGTCAGTCACTCACCAATTATATAGACATGTTATGTGGATAATTACTGTATTACATATTAATACAGTAACAAACATATGTAATAATACATATGTTTATTACTGTATTAAAGTTCTTAATAATTTTGAGTATAAAATTGTATTTGCAAGTTGAAACTCACTTGTGTAACTCTTCTATCTAGAAAGATAAAGATGCTAAGATTGTTGTTCTTGTGTGCATGTTTAAGTTCTAGCCAATAAACTCTAACTGTGCAAAATCACCTTGGAAGACTTCAAAAGGTAAAGAGTAATTTTCAGACACTTGCCAAAGTAACCGACATGAATATTTTTAAAGATAGTAAAAATCAGAAACTTTAAAAAAAAAAATCCATCCCTTATAATTCTATATAAAATAGAGATGTATGTATGCATGAAAATGAAAAATAATTTTTTAAAATCATAAACTCTTCACTGGTTAACTTGTGAAAGTAGACAGCTAGGTCTTTCTTCCTAGTCTGGAGGCTTCATTGAAACCTGCCTATCATGGGTGACCCTCCTGGTATTTGAAATACCAGTAGCCTAACATCGAATCTTGTAGCAACAAAAAGCTGTTACAGAATAGATTTAGAGGAAATGTAGAAATATTAAGTGTAGAGACCAGAGAGCAGAAAGCAGATAAAAGACACTATTCTAGAAAAAGGATAGAAGAAGATACTGGATAATGAGTATTAATATGTGTCAGGCTTTATGTTGAAAACTCATGTACGTTATCTGACTTAATCCTCCCAACAACTCTGAAGCCATTTTGTTGTTATATAAAAGACATGATTGACTGGATATTTAACTTACTTTGCCACAAATTCCTTCTCAGACTCAGAAGAGCTATGAGAGAAGACCACATGACCAAGGTCTTCCTTTGCCTATTGGTCAAAGCAAGCTACAGACACAGAGGAAGATTTGCATTGGGGAGAGATTTTTTTACATGACCATGATGTGGGAATTAGGATGATAACAGAATTGTAGCTTGCTGCCACAGTGTAAACCCAAAACAGGGTGGTGAGAGGCTTGGATTCTATTCCTACTTCATCTGCTGACCAGCTATGTGATCATGGGTAGATTTTTAAGATCATATCAGCTTCATTTGGAACATTAAAAGATGGAACTAAAATTCTCTGCAAGTTCTTTATGAGCTGTTATGACCTCCTTTAGTTTCTCTGCTCTGAAAGGAGCTGAGCTAGCATCCCTTCAGGAAACTGAGGTCATTTGGAGCACGGGTGCTGCCAGCTGTTCCAGACTATGTTCTTAGCTTCTTCTGAATCCCTCCCATCCTAAGCAAAGGCTGCTCTCCAAAGAATATTGTTGTTGTTGTTGTTAAGTGCTGTTGAGTCACTTCCGACCCATAGCAACCCTATGTAGTTTCTGAGGAGCGACTGGTGAGCTTGAACTGCCAACCTTGCGTTCAAACCTACAGTGCTTTATCCTACAGTGCCACGTTAGGACTCCCCAAAGAAATGGGAATGTAGAAACAGCATCCCCTCAGTAATCTATGGTGGTAGTTATGTACCGTGAAGTCGGTTCTGACTCATAGTGACCCTGTGCAGGGTTTCCAAGGTTGTAAATCTTTAGGGGAGCAGAACACCTCATCTTTCTCCCATGGAACTGCTGGCAGTTTTGAACTGCTGACCTTTCAGTTCACAGCCCGATTCATAACAACTACGCTACCAGAGATCTATACTGCCCATATTATGAGGCTTTGCCTCCAGTTCAAACCACTGGTCCCTTGCAAGATATGCCTGGACAGTAAACATAAAGAAATTATGAAATCAGAGACAGAATGAAGAGGTCTCCAGAAGAAGTAATAAGTAGGCAGTGAGATCTCATTTGGCAAGAGCCTGAGAAATGGGAAAATTAATAAATTCTTCCAAATTAAAAATTCATATCATTACTATCAAGGTGTGGTGCTGAGGGCTGATGCGCTGGACTGCAAAGTCAGTTTGAACCTCAGGGTCAGCAGTTCAAGCTCACCATCCGCTCCTTGGAAACAGGGTTGCTATGGGTTGGAATTGACTTGACGGCACTTAACAACCACAGTTGTCTCTTGAGTGCCGACTTTATGCAGTTCTTTACATCCTTGCTCTTTAACTCTCCCAACAGATCATTATCGTCCTGTTAAGTGCTGTCGAGTTGGTTTCCACTATGCACAACAGAACAAAACACTGCCCAGTCCTGCGCCAGCCTCACAATTGTTGTGACATTTGACCCCATTGCTGCTGCCCCTGTGCCAATTATCTTTATTGGGGGTCTTTCTGGCCTTCGCTGACACTCTACCAACTATGATGTCTTTCTCTGGGATTGCTTATGTTGCTTCTATTCTGTGGCATTTTTCCAGACCTCAAAATTTCAAAAGAGGAAGCAGAGGCATATTTATATTATCAACTGTCTATGCAAATAACAAAATTCATATCCTGCGTCATCATAAATATTCCACTGAGAAGGGATGGGAAGTCTCATAGACAGAGAGCAGAGCAGTGCGGTTGTACTGGCAGGCACAGTCAGTGGGAGGTTCGGGCTGAGAGCTTCTCAGGGCGTGTTGGGCCACCAGCCATAACACGTAGGACTGGGCAGTAGAACAGGTAGGCACTTTGACTTGGCTGATGACTTTTAGAGAGATTATGGGATTTTGAATAGCCAGCTGAGGAACCTGGATTCTCATTCTGCCTCTGCTGATGACCACCTGCTTAAATTGGTGAGTCACTTTCCCACTTTGGTTTACTCATTTTCCAAATACTAAAATGGGTGAAGCAGTCTTAACTAGCTGCTTTCAAGTCAACCTTCAACTCATGGCAATCCCGTGTGTGCAGGCAGAGTAAAATATGCTCCATGGGCTTTTTAATGTCTCATTTTTTCATGAGACTGCCAGGTGACTCTGGGTGGGCTCAAACTACCAACCTTTTAGTTACCAGTCAAGTGCACTAACTATTTGTACCATCAAGAGATTCTAAAACAACTCTTGAGTTTTCTTAAAGTTTTGAGACAGTGATTTTCCACACTTTTCTGTATTTCCATGGGGTCTTGCTTATAGTCTAGCATATAGCGTGTTTTCAACAAATACTGTGCAATTACATTGAGTCCTGAGGCAGGACCCATAACTCTGTTCTCATCCTGTAATAGAGAAACCACTGTGTGCTGAGCAGTGGGCCTTTAGTCCATGATCTGTCTTCTAAGTGGAAGGTTTAGAACTAGCTATCTTGGAAAGAACCGGCCCTCCAAGGTGAATGTGGAGGGACAAAGGATCAGTCTGTTGAACTTGGAAGAGCTGATGGCAAGACTGGAGATTTCCTGAGAAAAGAGAAAGAACTACAGAATTCCTACTGAAAGTAGAAATATGTCAGAAATTTAAGGAACACACATTAAAACTCAGTAAATCTGTCTATTTCTATATATTACTGTGAAGATATAATCAAACAGGTGAGACATCACAGGATGCCAAGATGCTAAAAATACAGAAACAACATAAATAGCCATGAGTACATGATCAGTTAAATGTGTCTTGAAATACCCCATTTATTGGAATATATCATTCAGCTTTTAAATTTAGGATGTGTACTAAAAATAAATGTTTAATATATTCAATTTATACAAGGGAGCTTCAAAAAAAGTTCATGAAAAAAATTCCATTATCTTTCCATTCTATGTTCCCATGAATGCTTTGAAAACCCCTTATGGATAAATTAATAAAATAATGTAATATAAATTAGGTATCTTGATGGTACAGTAGTTAAAACTGGCTATTAACCAGAGGTTGATGGTTCAAACCTACTAGCTGTTCCACACAAGAAAGATGTAGCAGTTGGCTTCCCTAAAGATTGTTGTTGTTGTTGTTGTTGTCAGGTGCCATCGAGTCAGAATCGATTCATAGTGACCCCATGCACAGCAGAACAAAACAATGTCAGATCCTGGGCCAACCTCACCACCGCTGCCACACTTGAGTCCATCAATGATGCCACCTGGCTAATCCATCTCGTTGTAATCCCTAAAGATTACAGCCTTGGAAACCTTATGGGGCAGTTCTACTCAATCCTATAGCATTGCTATGAATCAGAATCAACTGGATGGCAATAGGTTTGGAGTTTTATTATTTTTTTATTATTATTATTTTGTTTGGTTTTGGTTTGGTTCAATATAAATTATTTAATAAGTCATTTTGTTGTTGTTGTTGTTAGGTGCCATCCAGTAGGTACTGACTCATAGCGACCCCATGCACAAAAGAACGAACCACTGCCCGGTCCTGGGCCAACCTCACAATTGTTGCCACGCTTGAGCCCATTGATGCTGCCACTTTGCCAATCCATCTTCTAGGGGTCTTCCTCTTTTTCTCTGACCCTCCACCTTACCAAACATGATATCCTTCTCCAGTGACTGGTCTCTCGTGACAATATGTCTGAAATATGAGAGACGATGTTTGGTCATCTTGGCCTCCAAGGAGCACTCTGGCTGCATTTCTTCCAACACAGATCTGTTTGTTCTTTTGGCAGCCCATGATACTTTTCAATATTCTCCTCCAACACCATAACTCAAATGCATCAATTCTTCTACAGTCTTCCAAGCATTCCAAGGTTCCTACTGCCCCCCCACATTCTGTTTTGTGCTTATTAGAGAAGTTATCCCAGGGATAGTGGAGAAACGTCTTCTTAAGTTTCTGAAGAGTCCCTAGGAGGCTTATGTCTTTCAGTCAAAACCCTGAGTCTTAATTGAGTTCTCTGTCTCTTCCAGAATCAGCAGCATCATGTTGTCACAACCCAAGACCAAGGAGACCTTTAGTACCTTCATTCCAAAGGACATCATTCTCCAAAGAGAGAAACCTGGATCTAGCTACGCAAAAGAGGACACCCTGAAGAATGGTCTGAAAAAGGAGGCCACTGTTCTTGGGGTAAATACATCTCATTATAGGGATAAAACTGAGGGACTAGACTGTGAATGTATTCAGATTACAGAACTACAATGGGTCTGGGAGAAAATTTTGTTTTGTTTTGTTCTTTGACTGACTTCAGGCTGGTTGAAACATAAAATGAGGCTTTATAGAAAGATTGTATCCTCCTCACCATATCAGTTTTACCTGTTGTTGTTAAGTGCTGTCAAGCAGGTTCCAATTCATAGCAACCCTTTATAAGGTTTCCAAGGAGTGGCTGGTGAGTTTGAACTGTTGACCTTGAGGTTCAAACTGACCTTGCAGTCCAATGCTGATCCTACAGCACCACACCAGTGCATTTTTACCTAAATGCTACTTAACTAAGTCTCTCCTAACTTGTCATTAGTAGAGTAGAGAATTTGCAACTAACCATATAATTGTAGTAAATATGATTACAGTGAAGCTTACTTTGACCTAAGTTTTTTTGAAACCTTTTGAGATGAAACAATCTGGACTCAATTGTACTTTTACCCTCGGCTTGCATGAGTTACTACAAAAATTCTAAGTGCCTCATCACCAAGACTTTTATTCCCACATGCTTCTGTACATTCTGGGTTTTGTTTTGCTTTTCTCATTGTTTTTTAAAAAGTTTTATTGTAAATTGAGTGATAGTTTACATGGGAGAACATCAGTTTTGCACTCATCCTAATGTATTTTGTTTCATTTCAGTGATTACAATTCCCTCCATGCATCATCATTCAGTAGTCTTTGCTTTTAGTCCCTCTGTTTTTTGTTTGTTTGTTTGTTTGTTTGTTTTGATGTACACAGAAACACTCAAGAATATATAATCATTTAAACAACCCAAGGGCACATTCTGCAAGCCTACCTCCTGCCCACCAGCACATAGTCTTTTTCTCTTTCTATGTGTCTAGAGTCCTCAGCTGCTCCCTCTCGCCATGTCCTCATCTCTGCCTCCATCTCTGGTGTCACTGCTTTTCTGGATAGGGTCCCACATTCCGCTCATGCTCTTCTCCCTTGATGGTCCTAGGATCTTCTGTTCCTAGAATGTAAGATTAACTCCTCCCCACTTTATTGTTTTTTTAATGAGGCCCTACCTGTTCCAACTTTGGAAACCTGCTCAAATGTGTCCTATGGAATTCAGGCTCAGTTAGCAGCAAAACCTCTTTCTTCAAAGTCTTTTCTCAAAAATTCAAAGATTCCTTCCTTTTTATGCAATCATAAAATCTAGCCATCTCCTGAAAGAACTGCTTCCACTGTATGGTATACTCTTTGTTTCTCACAGATACTTTCTATTCCTCATTTCTAAAACCGTCTACTTTAGAATCTCATGTGATCCTTCTATACACCTCACTCCCTCTTCCTTCACTTCTCCAGGTCATTCCACAGTATTCCTTGGAGATCTTGACTCCTAGTTCACCGTCACTCCCTCCAGCAAAGTTTCTGTCATAAACCTTGATTATCTCAATATTCCTGTTAATGATCATTCTAATACCATGTTCTCTGAGTTTCTGCCTCATTCCCAGGATCCTGTCAGTAACAATAACAACAAAATAAAAAAACACCAATGTCTACATATTATTTAATGGAATGGATAAGTGAAGAAAAAATGAAAAAGCCTGGGATTTGGAAACAAGAATTCTGTTTCTAATAGTACCTCTTCCCTGATTCAGTTTCATCAACTATAACTTGGGTTAAAATCCTTTCTTTGCTTGCTTTGTGGTTGACTGTGATACACTCATGACAACATGCATGGAGAATTGCTCTGTAAATGCTAACTGGGGACTTAGCCATTGTTGTTGTTGTTGCTAAGTGCCATCAACTTGATTCCAACTCTTAGAGACCCTGTATTAGGTCTCCAAGGAGCAGAGACCCTGTATGAGGTCTCCAAGGAGCAGAGACCCTGTATGAGGTCTCCAAGGAGCAGAGACCCTGTATGAGGTCTCCAAGGAGCAGAGACCCTGTATGAGGTCTCCAAGGAGCAGCTGGTGGATTTGAACTGATGACCTTGTGGGTCACAGTCCTATACTGATCCCAGAGTGCCATGCCAGAAGTCCCATTAAGTGCTTTTATTTTGAGGTTTTCCTTAGGCCTGAGAAGAGAAGGTTTTACATTCACATTTCTAACTTTTGTCTTATCTTGAGAATAGTGGGAAAATGCACTGGTATTTCCCTGCTTTCTATTGGGATGTAGAGAAATAATTCAAGTGTTCCAGGGGGAACATAGGAAGAAGAATGGGGGTTGGAGTCATTGAAATAGACTTGGGGAGTTCTAGAAGGTACTGTTTAGGTTCCCTGTGAGTAAGAACAAATGCTGTTACTTAATGATTTAACCAACTCACTGTGATGGGGACCTTCAAATTAAAGGGCTTTAGTGATTTTTACCATGACCAGAATACTGTACCAATTCTTAAAATCCCTTTTGCCATCTATTCTTGTCTTCCAGACTATACAAATCCTGTCTTGCCTGATGATCTCAAGCTTGGGGGCAGTTTTGGTTTCTGCTCTCTACTCTTCCCACTTCAACCCAGAAGTTTCTACCATTTTGATATCTGGGTACTCATTTGTAGGATCTCTGTGTGTAAGTAGAGCGGGGTCTCCAAGACGGAGCCAGCTTTATAAATGTTAACTGGTGTTTTGTAATAGACTAACTAAGCTCCCAAAAGGCTGGGACACACAAGAAGGTCAAGGCCTTCGATTTCCTCTGTATTATCATCCCACATTATGACTCTTCCATGTAAGAAGAGGGGCAGCAAGTTAAATCTGTCCTCTTACATGACCAACCAAGAGAGGGGTTGGTAGAGGCAGGAGGCAAGAAGGGAACATAATCTACTGGCCATATCATATCAGCACAACATTTCTTACCTGACTCTGCTTAACATACTTCTGAAAAAGTATCTTGATTTTTGCAAGACTTTTGGGAGCTTTGATTAGAGCACTGGATTTGTTCTATTATGAAATTAATCCATCAAGTAAGTAGAAAGTAAGAAGGTCATTTGTAAGCAATAGAATGAGCATCTCTGGTAGAGGTCATGGTTCACATAGAATTAGATTAACTATGAAAGGATTTGTGGGAAAACTATGGATTCATAGGGACTTTCTTGCTGCTTATTAAGAGGCAATCCTGAACACTTAGAAAATTATTTTAGCTGCTTTTTAGTCAATAGTTTATGAAGATAGGCCTAGTAGATTTTTTTAAAGTAACCTGAGCCATCTCATCTCTCCCATAAAAGGATACTTTTCCATGTAGTATATTACTGAAAGGGTGTGTGTGTGTGGAAAAATGAAACCCATTCTGAACAGATACCAAGGAAACACCTCTGTGAGGTCATATATTAAAAAGAGGCTCTGCTCCTGCCCTAAAACAAGAATTTACCCTTGACTTCTCCCACCAGTGTCTGGGGCCCCACAATCCCTTATGAAAACTAGAATTAACTCCTGCTAACACCATAGGACACTCTTTGGGACTATCTAACCCCCAAGGAACACGCATAACTGGCATTTCAGCTTCTCAGAAACTCCACCAACACAAACTAAAGCTTTTTACCCAGTAGGGAAAAGCACTGACTCTGAGGCTTTATGATGGAAGATTCCTCACATTTGACTTTACCCTTCCCATTTTCCTCATCTTCTAGAATGACTCAGTCACCTGTATCAATGACTGAAAGCCATGTGTTTCTGTGCTTTCACCATTTCAAAACCCTATTGTCAAGCGCTGTTGCTGCGTACTCCCATCTTTCTATCCTTCACATCACTGAACTACCTCGTTCTCTTTTCTGTTAACCCTGTAATTTTGCAACTTCTCTCTTCCCCACACACCTTCTCCCCAGGTTGTCAGTTGCCAGACCAGCCAAGAGAAGGGTTGGTAGGGGCAGGAGGCAAGAAGGGAACATAATCTAAAATTCCTAATATAAATCCTAATATAAATCTGCATCTGCTGGTTCTTCAATGTCAATGTAAACACCTTGAGGGCAGAATTGAGCCTACCTATGGAGGAGTCTTGGTGTGGCACTTTAGGATAAGCACTAGACTGAATGACAGACATAATGTTGATGGTTCAAAATCAGCAACCACTCTCAGAAACCTAAAAGCACTTAACAAGAACAACATCACTAGGGAACCAAAGCATTCCTGTAGTGTCATCTTCCTAAAGGTTTTCCAGTGATATTCATTGGCTGATAGTAACATAGTAGTCACATTTCCACAAGACAATTAAACTGACCTTTTCTCTTTTCTGAACAGTTTGCCATTACTGGATTCCTCTCAATTGTCTCTGGAAAAAAATCAACTAGGCCTTTTGTAAGTATGAAAACCATCAAATCTCAGCTGGTTGAAATTAAAGGAAGCTAAGAGTTCATTTTTCTGCTTAAAAAAGTGTTCATTTTGTAGTTTGGAGAGATGAGGCTCAGAACAGGTGAGGGAGACCAGGATTCTGTGGCTAACCCCTGACAAAAGTAGTTATGGAATTCAGATTTCTTGCCCTCTACACCAGCATTCTTTCTCCCACAAAATGGTATTCCTATGTCACAGTCCAAATTTGGAGGGTATTTGCTTACATTGTTTAGCATTACAAATATACTACAACAATAACTGTGTGGATGAGAATCCACATAATACCTATTCCTAGGAGGCAGAGATCAACTGCATCCCTGTTTTCTCACTTCTCGGTCATTTTGGACACCAGCCACTCACACAGAACTTTCTCCCTCTCTGCCTCCAGCCATCCAGGACTAGGTCAGACTTTACAAGCTACTCCTTGCATACCTCATGAGATATATATATAGTCTCCATCTTCCTTTTCCACCCTGGGGTTTAGGGGGAAGCAGTTGTCCCTTTTTTAGTGTGTGCTGCCATCTGGCGGAGATCTGTATAACTATGAATCTTAAGAACTGTGGCCTCATCCCACCGACCCCAGCACCAGACATTCCTCAGGTTCCTAATAATTATATCAAGATCCATATTAAATTGTTTCAATTCATTCAAAAATGCCTTCCATTACTGAAAGCACATGGTTTCAAAAAAAGTATTCAAAAGAGAAATAATCTGTTCTTGAAAAGGTTATTAAGAGGACACCATGCTTGGTATGTTAGCTGACTGGAACAAGTCAGAGACTTCATGGAAGATATTACATTTGTGACTGCCAGTTTATTATACTTGTTATTGTTGTTAAGTACCACTGAGTTAGTTCTGACTCACAGCAACCCTGTATAAGGTTTCCAAAGAGCAGTTGGTGAGTTTTAACCTCTGATCTTTAAGTTAGCAGTCAGTGCTTATCCTACAGTGCCACCCTAGGACCCCATTTCATAGTAAAATGATATAGATCAGGATCATCATAAAGCAGAGATACATGGGTGAAGTCTGGGGAGGTTTCCAATGTGGAGCCACAGTATCTCAGAGAGGGCACTCTGAGCTTTTATTGATTACTGTTCTGGGATTTTATTGTCCAGTCCTGCATAATGGCCTGAATCATGCTTCCTGAGTCTACTTGATATTGGTCTCCCATGTGAGTTCTTTCTGGTCTGAGCATCAACCGCACAAATCCTCAATTATGCCTGGAAGTCCCAGACCAAGGCACTCCAATTACTCCAAGGGTTATTTCTCCAGAGTTAAGATAAAGGGCACCATATTTTAGGCAAAATTAGATCTTTTACCTAACACATGTCATAGACTCTTTGTAACATGTTGCCTTGGCCACAGAATAGAGTGGTAGGGACGGTATGGGAGCTCTTTTTATGCCCAAAGGAAATGCTGTCATCTTCATCTGGACTGGAGAGACTATCTCCATCCAAAAGGCTATCCTTGGTCACTGGAGTGACCAAGAAAATTTAAGATAAATGCATTATGCAAGGAGAATGAGGGTGTGCAACTGTGTGTGTAGTCATGTCTGCAAACACTTTAGAGCCTTCACATGAAGTGGGCAGTGGGAGGACAAGTCTGTGATGTCAACATTGGCAGCAAACCTGAAGGAACACAGGTGATACTGCTAAGGTCGCTGCCCACACCACTCTTGATTTCCTCAAAATCCTTAGAACGATTACGTTGTTTACTCTAAAGGTTCTGGAATATGACCATTCCTCTTCCTAGGGAATCTAATGTAGGTTTCTCCCTAATAAAGAAGGGATCGCTTCAGACAAAAAAAAAAAAAAAAGGCAGACATAAGCTAAAGCAGCTGGAATATCTACCTTAAAAAAGATGTTGTTGTTGTTAAGTGCCATCGAGTTGGTTCCGACCCACAGCAACCCTGTATAGGGTTTTCAAGGAGCAGCTGGTGAGCTTGAACCACCAACCTTGCAGTTCAAATGGCTTTGCAGTCTGGTGCATTAACCCACAGTGCCACACCAGGACTCTATAAAAACACAGTTCACCACACTGTCTTTTGGATCCTATTCTACTATTTGCAGGAAGGACTCTCCCAGAATACATTAGTTCCTTTGTAATGATACTGATATGCCAGGCTCTGTCTCAGGTTCCCAGGACATGCTGGGAATGATGGTTGCCCTGTCCTCTTCTTCTCTGCCCTGTAGCTACAAGGTTCCAAGAGCGGACTCACAAAGGAAGAGAAGACTGATTAGGACAAGGAAGGGCCTTTGCCCAGAGCTCACATATTGTTAGGTGTCCCACATGATTGTCAGGTCATCCCAAATGTAGTTCCCCTTTCTGTGTATTCAGGGAACTTGGGAAGCCATAATAGGGATCAGAATGTTTATTCTACATGTTTCATAAATGAGAAAACTGAAACTCAGGGTAGAAAGGTACTTGTTTAAGCACACAAGGAGTCAGGAATGTAACTGGTATTAGAGCCCAGGTTTTCTGCTTCCAAGTCTAGAGTTCTGACCCCATCCCATGCTGCCACTTATACTATGAACTCTTCAAACCCTAGTACCCTACTGCTGACTTAGACCGCAGCTTCCAGCACTAAGGTACATACCAGTCTCACGTGCTTTCTATGTGTCTTCATCCATGACCTTGGGAACTTCCTGTGTCCGGATGTGGCTTTTCTTTGAGTCTCCCTTGTGGGTGTGTGGCAGAGGCCTAAGGAAAGGTTACCATGGAGAAGACCAAAGGCCTTCTCCACTCCTGTCTTTGTGGGGGAAGTAGTAACAGTCTATTAACTCCTTGTTTCTAAGGGTAGAGGAGAGAGTTACAGAGTCTATGCACATGTACCTCTGACCCTATCATCGAAGGAAACTGAAGGTATATGCTTGCCTGGGGTTCCCAGTCTCATCTCTCCCAGGAGGAAATTATTCATGCATTCTCTCATTCAACATTTACTAATTATATCAGTTAACAGAGCAGATAGCGTGGGAAGGGAAGGACAGATGAATAAAATGCAATCTGTGCCTCGTTTTGTTGTTGTTGCTGTATAGGGATGGAAACAGGCCCAAGCGAGCACCATTACCATACGATGGACAGGGGGATCATGGCAGGAGGGCTGATTTGGTGATGAAAGCCCAATACAGAATTTCTCTTCTAGGCCCTGAGCAGCCTGACAGCAAATGCAGTGAGCTCTGGAGTCTCTGGAGCAGGTCTCCTCCTCATTACGGACAGCCTGGTAGCCCTGGGGACAGCCTCTCAGGGCTGTGACTTGGAAAAGACATATCTGTCATCATTGCCTTACACAGACTACTACTATTCAATATATGAAGACAAGGACTGTCTCCTGGCCAGTACCAGTCAAACAGTAAGTAACTTCGGATTGAGTATCCTGTCATGTACAATCCCAGCATGTCCTACTTTGCATAATCTTTGCTTTTTCAGCTGTCTCTAGTTCTGTTGATCTGAATAGTGTAGGCAGGGAGAAACCACAAATGTATCTGACTGAAAGAGAGCTCTTAGAGTTTGTTGCATAAAGTAAAAATTTTTTAAGAAATGAAATCAAGAAATCAATGATAAATCTACCACTTCAGTAGTCTTTCTTTAAGTAATAGATACGGGCAGTGATATTCTTTTTTATATTTACTGAGCTTTGAGATAATTTCCTCAGGGTTGGTTTGCTGGGATTGGAAGTTTGTTCCTATCCCTTAAAGATGTTTGTTTTCTGATTGTCAGTAAGGAAAGAGTATGAGTCTGAATTTAGGACTAGGACAAGCCACTTAACATTTAAATTCGAATGCATGGCTATATATGCTACAGTTAGTGAAGACAGAATTTGAACCTTCAGCCCAAATGCATAATTATACTTTGACCCAGTAGGACTACAGATAGTGAGAGGGGTGGGGGAGATGTCTCAACAATGGATTCATCTCCTAGCAGAAATGTCAATGTCTCTCTCTTGCCATCTTTTCCCCAATTTTGATGGTCATCATCTGTTGATATTGAAATCCTGGCTTATTCAGTTGTCTCTATATACAGACTCTTGGATTTCAAACCATAAACTTGTAAGCTTAGTCCTCTGTGACTCCTCCTAATAGGGTTAGAGATATCATCTCTTGTTGCCTTGAATCTCTTTTGTTAAAAGATCTTAAAGAAAATGCAGAAAAGGGTACTGAACTATATTTTCTGACCCCATCCTCCCCATTGCAAGGAACTTCATCCCCCATGATCCCCAGAATCCACTCAGCCAGGCAAAGGAGCTGCTTATATAAGGCAGCAACTCTTCATGTCCTCGTTTACAGGGTGTGCTGGTGGTGATACTTGTCTTCACTGTGCTGGAACTCTTACTAGCTGTATATGCATCTAAGCATTGGTGGGAGCAGATGCACTCCAACAACTCTGGGGTGAGTATGTTGGCACATCAGATGATACCTGTTGTGGCCCAAGGTTTGACCTATGAAGATCCAGGCCCAATAAATGGCATAAAGAGGAGTAAATTATTGGTCTGACCATGTGGAACGTAACTTCTAGGTGGGAAATAAGGTGACTAAAGGGGCTTCTTCATAATGAAACTGGTCAGTTGAGAGTAGCTGGTATCTTCTGGGAAGCTGATCAGTTAGAGAACTACTAAATATGAAGCTAGTTAGTTTTACAAAACTCCTGCTCTGACCTCTTATAAGAAAACCAAGGTTTGCTTGACCAGAAAACTCCTCATTCCCTTACTCTTTTTTCTTTAAAAAAAGTTTTTATTGTGAATTATGTGTTAGTGTACATGGGTGAACTTTATCTTTACATTCATCCTATCATATTTTGTTTCATCAAATGATCACAATCCCTTGCATGCATCATCAAACAATCAAAGGGTACACCCCACACGCCTGCACCCAGGCCACCAGCACACAGTCCCTCTCCTTCCCTGAGTTCAGAGTCCTCAGCTGCTCCTTCTGTCCACATCATCATCTCTGCCTCCATCCCTAGTGTCACTGCCTCTCCGGACAGGGTCTCGCACTTCACTTTTCTCCCTTATTGGTTCCAGGAATCTTCACTCCTAGACTGCAAAATCAGCCACTCCCCTCCTTTTCTTACCAAACATTTACATTTACCTTTCCAACACTAACTGTAAGACTTGATAGCAATCATTCCCTATTGAGCCACAGGAGTCCTTTCCCCCTCACCTTTTATCAACCCCATCCAGACAGGTTGGAAGCAATTCAGTGGAGATTCTATCTTTCCCTGTATCCTCTGGAGCTAGGTTCCCTATTGAAAGCTTGTAAGCCAGTCACTTCTTGCGTTTGTAGTCTCCCCATTTTGGGTAGACAATGTCTAAGTTCCCTATCCCTGTCGACCCTGTGTACCAAGGGGGTGGGATACATTCCCTCACTCTTATCATGAACACAGCTACTGTCTTTCCTAGAGAGACTCCATTGTAAAGTGCCCTGACTGATGTGATTAGATTTTGCAAGGACATAGTGGTTACAAATCGGGCTGTGATCCTTAAGGCCAGCAGTTCGAAACTACCAGCCGCTCCGCGGGAGAAAGATGAGGCATTCTGCTCCCGTAAAGATTTACAGCCTCGAAAACCCTGTACAGGGTCGCTATGGGTCGGAACCGACTCGACGGCACTTAACAACAACAACAACAACAACAACAACAACAACATCTGTTCTGTCTATGGTTTCCTGTATTCTCCTCTTAGCTCTTGATATAATTTTAAAGTACTTCTGTTTCTCCTAAAAGTATCAAACCAAATCATACAGAATTTTTAAAGGATTTGATGAATTACAATTCAGCTATGATTTTATTAGAAAAAAAATGAAAACTACTGGTAGACTGGGAAAATGACATTTGTTTGAACTAAACTTAGTATAATTATATGTGATGGTAAAAGTGGAAGGGTTATTACTATATAAAATAAGAGGGAATGACATTATAAATGTACAACAAAAAAAGCCTCCATAATTAGAATCAAAGAACTATTAACATATTTTATCTTTTCAGTGTGCAGTTTTCCTGCCTCCATCACAAGAACATGTACAATATGTCAAAAAGAGTTCTTCAAGATCATGGATATGAGTAACTCTTCACATAGCGAGAAAAAAGATATTACCAGGGCTCAAATAAAGTGTAATGAGACTTTTATGAAAACGTAACCATGTTAGAGACTTAGAAACTTTAAAAAAAATAAAAGTTGTGTACAAAAAAACAAACTTTTGTTTTGTATTTTCTCACTGTGAAGCATTTTATTTCTCTTGAAAATAATTTTAGCAAAAGCACAGGTCAGTAAAGTTTTATTGGTTGTTATTCTGAAATGGCCATAAGCTTTACAAACTGTTCTGAACTAAGCTGCACAGAAAATGACAAAAAGAGAAAATATACACTCATGGGCTAGTCTGTGTTGCTAGTGTGAATGAACTAAGTCATAGGGGCTATGCAAATTCCATGGTACTTAACAGCAACAGCGATTTCACAGAGCACAATGTCTCCAGACTCATCAATGTTAAATGCTATTTCATAGATGCATTGTTATTCTTCAATGGTGTAAAACATTCCATTTTGTATATGTACCAAAGTATGTTTCCCCAAGTCTTTGATGCATACATGGACATTTAGGCTATCTCCATCATTTTTCTATTGTGAAGATTGATGCAATGAACATTGTTATGCATATATCTCTTCACATCATGGTTCTTATTTCTTGAGGTTATACACCAAGTAGTGGGATTACTGGGTCATACAGTATTTCTATTTCCAACTTTTTGAAAAAGCACCGTACCATTTTCCACAGTAATTGCACCATTTTACAATCCCACCAGCAAGGAGGTGGTGGTGGTGGTTGTGTGCTATAGAGTTGTTTCTGACTCATAATGACCCTGCATAGGGTTTCTGAGGTTGTAAATCTTTACGGGAGCAGAAAGTCCCATCTTTCTCTCAGGGAACAACTGGTAGTTTCAAACTGCTGACCTTGAGGTTGGCATCCCAACTCTTAACCACTATGCTACCCAGAGCTCCTTACCAGCAGGGTAGGAAAGTCCAAATCTCTCCATACCCCCACCAGCATATGTTGTTTTCTTCTTTTGAACTTTGCTATTAATGCTGGGGTAAAATGACATACTATTGATTTGATTTACATGTCTCTGTGTGACACTGTAGAATAAGCACTTGACCACAATGTCAGATTGAACAACAAGGTCAGCAGTTCAAACTCAACAGCCACTCCTCATATGTGTCGTTATATGTCAAACCAACTCGACTGCACTTAGCAACAAAAACAATGTCTAGAGTGCCTAGCATTTCTTCATATGTCAGCTGTCCATCTTAATGTTTTCTTTGGTGAACTGTCTGTTCATGTCTTTTCCCCTTTTTAAAATTAAATTCTTTGCCTTCTTGCTGTTGAGGTGTTGAAGTACTTTATAGATTTTAGACAGTAGTCCCTTTTTTCCCTATCTGTATGTTCTCTTTTTACTCTTTTTTTTTTTTTCTTAAATGTTTTATTGTGAATTATGTGATAGTTTACATGGGAGAACATTAGTTTTACATTCATTCTATCATATATCGTCTCATTGTCATGGTTACAATCCCCTCCATACAATCCTTCCCCTGTACCCCCCCAGGTCTTCAGCACACAGTCGCTCTCCCTCTCTGGATCTAAAGTCTCCAGCT